ACTATTTTAGCCGGTCAAATTGGACTGATGGTGGCAATAAGGCCGAAACACTCTGGCAGATGGAAACATTGAAGATAGATGGATCAAAAAGATCGGAAACGACCAAGCTAGAAATATCATAGCTGTGTTAAAAATAGACAGTTCTTTTTATATTTTAACCTCCATCAGACTTGTTTTTGAGAAGTTTGTAGTTAATTGTTCGTTAATATTGTTAATTTCCTATACCTATAATTTCGTCAAAGGTGAATTCAACTAAAATCACAATGAATATTTAATAACTGTTTCTTGCAAGCTTCTCAGTCGCGCAAGAGTGCTTCATACGTTGAATTTTATGATTCAGTAGGAATGTTTTAGTCTGTTAATAAATCAGAAATTTAATTTTTATGAAAATTCTCTTTTATTAAGAAGATTAGTATTTGTGGAGGAACAAAGGAAACTGTAGGGTGATCTAGGTTTTCATGTTCACGAGCGTTCTTAATCGGAAAATAGCTACGTTGTGATAAAACTGTACTTCGTTGGATGCAACACCGTTAAAAAACGTCAGTCGGAAACATGTTTTCAGTCGGAAATAGTTGTGCCCCGGGAGATCCACTGTTGTAGAACGAGGAGTAACGTCTCAGACGATCCGTGAGGGCCGACTTTCTCTTCTCTTCCTTCTTCAACGGTGAACGGCACAGACCACGGACTGGCGGCCACCACTTTCACCAGCATCAACCAGAAGATTCCCAGCCGAATGCAAGCCGAAGCATCGGCCAAACGGCATCGAGAACCGTTAGTTATGTCATCCTTTCATCCTGGGGAGTCCAGGCCGGCGTCTCTTCCACTAAGAAATAACAGCAGGCTATATAACAAAAAGGGTTTTGTCGTTTAATTTATTTTAAAAAAAAGTTCGAATCTATTCAAGCTTTGATAAAGGAGGAAGAGGGGTTAAGTAAAAATCCCTGATCTCAGGGTCAGTGACTTTTGTATGCCATTTTTAAGATCCTTTCTCAAGATGTCGAGATAAGTCAGTACATGTGTGAATATTGTTAAAAGGTGAATGTGGTCTAAGTGCCCTTTTAAAACATTTCCTTTCTATAGTTTTTTAATGACAAAGGGAGACTACGGGCATATCACTGATTTTATTGATACTTTTTTTTGGTAATATCAGGACGAAATATATTAGCCACCGGTCCCTGGGTTCTTACCAAAAGACCCTAGGCACCGACAAAAGAAAAGAGTAATTTAGGTACTTTTTAAGAAATGTAGTTTTCAGCTTTTTTGTTCGTGCATTTCAAGGTTATTATACAGGGTGATTCGCAACTCGTACGACAAAGTTCGTCAGGTGCTTCTACACCTAAAACGCCCCAAAATGTGGGTATGAACCATGGTCCGATTCTCAACCCCTTCGCAGATATTCTACATTTTATGTGGTTTTTTTCAGCTATCCACCGTTTTCGTCACAAATCTACTTGTAGCTCTTGATCTATTCATTTTTGAGGAAATGCAAAAAGCATTGAAAAGAGCGTTAAATTCCTTTGAACAATGCGTCCTTCTAGAACTTTCAATCTAATTTTTGGTAAAAGAACAAACAGTAAATCTTTCAAAAACTGCTAAATTTAAAATTTGTAAAAAAACGAAATTTGTAATCCATTGTAACAATTCAGGGTAGAGGTTGCCAAATTACATAACAACTCTTTCGTTTAATAAGCTTCCTAGCGGTATACCTTTTCCTTTACTTACATCGAACTAAAATGCAGGAATTTTATGCTAAATTGGGGAAAAATGGTGTCGGCGTGAAAAACGGGAATTTGGTTAATCTTGTAATTCAAAGTTTTGCCCTAAGCTTACTTTTTAAAAAATTTATATCCCAACTTTAACTTAATAAAAAAGTACAAAAAGAAAGAAAAATTAAACAAATCACATAAAAGAGAGAAACTAAACTTAGCGAACAATCAAAGCAGAAAATTGGACGAAACATCTACGAACAACTTGGAAGTCACGATAGCTCAAATGGTTAGAGTAGCGGTGTATTGAGCCGAAGGTCGTGGGTTCGAATACCGCTCGTGACACTTGATTTTTTATCTCAACCAATACTTTACGTAAAAAGGTTATTACAACCGTTGCATGCTGAAGACTTTTACTTTTAATCTATGTCAATTATGTTTAGATTTTTTGGTATTATAATTGAGAAAAATAAGGATGAAAAAAAAAGTTTTAATGTACAGCTCTGCTTCTAATTTATTTATGGAGGCTAGATTTGTGCCATTACATGTAGTTTATAAGATGAATAATAATGAATACTAAGCCCCTGTTAAGTCGCCATCTAACTGTTTCAAAATTGTCATAATTTATATTTGATTTTCAAAAAAATTACCAGGAATGGGAAAAATTTGTGAAAAAATGTATTGATTTTTCGCAAAAATTTGTATTCACGGGAGTTTTGTGTGCAGAAAACGAATATCAACATTGTTTCTTGCTAAAAAATATTTTAACTTACATCGCTGTCACCCACTACGTTATGCAATATTTTTGTCAAGATTTAGTTTTTCATTTAATATATTTTATCTTTCATTTTATACAAAATACTGGTGCATAACAATACGACGTGGATAACAATCCGCCTGTCCTGGAGTTAACTAAGAATAAATAATAAAAGTGACAAAACATAACAAAATGGAAAAAAATACTGCAATGATATATACATTCTAACGTATATTTTTTGTGGTATTTATATTATTCTTACCGTGCATAAACAAACAACAGATATACGCATGCATAAAATGCATGCAGAACATCATGGAAAAAGAAGAAAACTAATAAAACAGAACAGTAAATATTTTTTTCGGCTCTTAACGGAAGTACACTCGAATCGTGTCTAATATTTTTCGTCCTAGTATCACCAATAAAACTAATTGTGGTGGAGTGAGTATGTCGATTCACATTTTGAAAAGTTTGTCAAATTAAATTTTGTTAGTAGAACCATCCTTTAGAAAAAACTAGCATCACCAAGTTTCATTAAAATCGGTGATCCCACGTTCTTAGCCCTTGTCGACCGTGGACCAACGGGATCTCGTACCAAATGTGTTCATTAAAGAATAGCGACGACTGTAAAACCAACCGAACAATTTCTCCTCTCTGATTATTTAATCTGCCTCCACGTTTCCTTCCCTGCTGATTTTCGCAGTTCCCACCGCACCAGAACAGGGTTCCGTGGCCTCTTCGTTCATTTTTCACGGGCTGTAATTTTGAAAAACGGATTCGAACGTTTCTATAAGAAAAACCATTTATTTACAAGGCCGGGGGAGGATTAACGATCCGAGCTGCAGCAACGTTTTCCGTACGACTCGGTTATAAATATGTTTGCATTATTTTTTTTCAAAGCTCGACGGAAATTCCCTCGTGTTGAGGTCGCGCGTTCTTTCTGCCAAGTCCGGCCAGCGTGTGAAAATAGAAAACGTTTCGTTTATATTCACAGCTAAGATTACATCAACGATTCACTCCACTTAGTATTATAATTTTTAAAAAATCTAGAAACTTATAATACCTTGTGTAAATTATTTAAAAAAAAAATCCGAATGGCAATTTATCAAGTTGATCCTCCTGACACCTCTTAATCAAGTGATTAAAATGTCACTAACTAGATTTCCGGAGTTTTAAAAATAAAAACAAAACTAAAAGTAAAAAAATCTGGGCCGGTTTTAAATAGAGCATTACCAAGCGCATTGTACGATAAAAACGGCGATGTTAACAATTCGACACGGCAACACTGCGGGCACTGCATTAGGAATTCGCCATGCTCGACTTTTCTTATATATCAAATTAATAGTGTAAGGCCTAGTTTTACTTAAAGACTTGGGTGAAAAGTTGCCTAGGAAAATTCCACCGTTTCGACAATTCACGACGTCTCATAAAAGTTCGATAACGCATGGCTTTGATAGACTTGACCTCCTAAGACATCTGACCTGACTTGATACTGTTGATATTTTTTACTATCACTAACTCGCCTTTTTGTGCTAATCCACAGATTGTACGTTTCTCATCATCGATCATTGACGAACCCACTGCTAAATCCTGAACTGTTCTTTTCTCCAATCAGCCTTAAAAAACCCTTTATAGTCCAAAAATTTAAAATAATTATTCAGATATCGTGAGATGCGGTTCTCACGCATCTCACGATATCTGAATAACTATCGATTAACGGTCACTAATCTCTACACATTTAAAATAATGAAACAACTTGTAGTACAAATTGTTCCTTATAAAAGAAAAAGACATACATATACATGTATATTGTCAATTTTTCTCTTAGAAAATCATTTAATTTTTTTACAAATATTTCCTTCATTGCTTCTTCCCTTTTTCGGTCATTTGTAGGCCATTATAGGTAACACAAGAAAAGTTTAATCGGATCGAGCATTTAAGTTTTTAGTATTGAAGGACTTAACAAAAGAGATTCACGAAAATTTATGTAGCCTAAGCTGACTTGGTAACTCTCTCTCTCACTCGCTGTCACTTTCCTCTCACACTCTCTCTCTCTCTCTCTCAATTAAGGTGCGTAAAAGTAGGTAGTAGAGCACCATAGCTCAAATGGTAGAAGCGCCAGCGTACAGATTCGAAGATCGCGGGTTCGAATCGCACTCGTGACAAATTTTTTAATTCAACCAAACTTTGCATAATAATTATAGTGAACTGTCTCTCTAGCTCAACCATCAGGGAAGGAGGCACCGTCCATCTGACCGTTGGCCATCAATTCGTCTTCAACAATTTTTCGTTTCTAATTTTGTGAATTACCTGACTGGGAACATTAACTTAATTGATTTTGACATGATTGGCATTAAAAAGCATACTGCATATGTGTGGTTGACTTGAGGATGATGTTGACCTATGAGTAGATCCGTGTCAAGAATCAAGTTTTGGGTGACCACCGGTGAGAAAGCGTTTTGAATAATTGTTAAATTATAAATCCACATTGAAACATATTGCAGCTTCAAGGAACAGGTGATTTAAGATAAATGAATATAAATCTGTAACCAGCTTTGCGAATGACCGACCAAACAAAAAAGCTTATCAATTAAATTAAGCGTCACATGTACTTCTTAAAGAAATAACTTTTTTTTGTTCAAATAGTTTAATAGTTGATGATGAGAGCGTTGTTGTTCAGAACATTGTTGGTACTCCTCTCGGTATCCGTCAATTCGGAACGTAAATTACAAGGTGCTCGTTACGCTCGTTACAGGGAGTTCTTGTACATCGTGAGTATCCAAGACAAGCTGACCAAGATTCACCGATGCGCCGGTGTTTTGGTGACCCTGAAACACGTCATGACGGCTGGCCAGTGCATCGTCAATTTCGACGAGAAAGTCGGAATCTCTCTCCGCGATCACAGAAACTCTATCGTGTACGGGGTCAGCCGGTTTACGAAAGAGATCGAGACAGGAGTTTATCGTTACGTCCTCAGTTGGCACGCCCATCCCAAGTTGTCTTTCGTCCAGGACTCGTACTGGAGCAACGACGTCGGCATAGTGGCGTTGTCAAGCGGCCTGTCCGATGATGTGGCGAGCCCGGTGAACATCGAGATCGCAGAAACGACGACAACCGAGGCGTACACCCAGTCGAATTCGACCGAGGACTACATAACGCATGCGACGACAGTGGCGACGACGTTGGCCGCTCCCCAGTCGTGCAAGGTGATCGGATGGGGATGGGACAGGTACAACTGGCATATGGAAAAGGACGACAACACCGAGTATATATTCCAACTGAAGGTGGTTGAGGTCAAGCTGCTGAATCGCGACGAGTGCGAGATTAAAATACGAGGCATAAAGCCGTTGTTCACTTTCTTCAACCTCAGCATCTTGGAAGCGTCCTGCGCCGAACCCATGTATACGCTGAACAACACGTGTTTCGGTGAACCGGGCGCCCCCATCATCTGCGACGACTTCCTCGTCGGTCTGTCGAGCTGGTTCGTCGGCTGCGGAAGCCACCCCGGCCCTCTCGTCTACTCCGGTAAACTTCCCATTCTAGATTTTTACATCAACTACGGTTTCGATGTGCAATTCAATTCCGTTCTACCAACACCGACATGCACCATGCTGTTTCCCCTTCTCGCACTAATTGTCATATTTTGGCTAAAATAAATAAACGATTATCAGATGATAACAATCGAATTAATCAAAAACCGACTCATGTAACAAACACATTCATTTACTTCTTCAAACATAACTGTCTTTTGTTTTCATAATTATTTAATATGTAATGTATACAAAATATACAACAAGCAAATGTGGTACATGAAAAGATACTAATACTCCCAGTGGAGTACGGTTACTATTTTCGGGGTAAGTATTCTGAAGTCCTGGAAAATTGTTTCATAAGAACGTTCAGATGATATAGATTTATAGGGCGAGGAGTTAATTTGTTATGTTCTAGGACATAGAAGATGTTTAGCTTAGCGTGGAAAGCGTGATTGTTTACATTTGCCCTATTATACTAAGGACCTTGGATCGCTAGTATTGGTTGTAATGGAAGTAGGAGATCTTTGATGCACTATAAGGTCGTAGTCCAACAGTGCTTTTTTTAAGTTTTTTTAAAATTTTGTACAGAAGACTCATCTTGTACCTACTCCCTTTTAGCCCTCTCCGTCTCTGCCTCGATACAATTCTACTTAGCTTACACGGTTTGTCGTGGGACTACGAATATTGTCCAATTAGAGGAAAATCTGTTTAAAGTGAAGACTGTATGGTGGGATTTGTTTTCATTAACCTTGCTTTTTAGCGTGAAGTCATGTTTCCAGGATGTGGGGTGTGGGAGCGAGAGGGTTGCTATGAAAGGATCGGTGTTAGGAAAGAGTTAAGGTGAAGCGGTTTATAGAGTGTATAGGGCTATTGCCAGAATTGAAGAACGCCAACGTATAGGATAAATGGTAGGTGTAGAGAACCTTGGACTACATGAAAATGAGGGGCGTATAAGTAGCATTTAAGAATGAGGTAATAAGTAGAAGGAAGTCTTAAGTTTTCACAGCAGGCTGTAATGAAATTTGTGGTAAATAAACTCCATCATCTAGGTCATTTATTGATTTTGAAGAGCCCATTTCCGTTTTATTAAAAGGATTTTTTCGTTCCGCCCTTATAGGGCAGACTGGGAAAAAGGCCGAATATCTGGTATTTATTAGATGACCCTAAGAGAGTATAGATCAGGAGTTGGTATCTACGGAAATAAGCCAAAAACATATGCACTGGGAATATACCACTATCTTTCAGTTTTTGGCTATTGTACTCTGTTTTATTACCTATTATAAAAAGAGAAGATATATTATAAAAGAATAGCCTTCTACTCGGACAGCCAAGGGACACTTGGTACTCTTGGTAAGTCTCATTGGTAGTAAAACCCAAATCGTATGAGATACATTGGAGACAAAAAAAAATTATCTTAGACTGAGTACCACATATTGACCAAGGAAAGGACGATGAGGCCGCCTGTACCAAATTGCAAAAACTAACTCCATCAGACAACTGGTTAAGAATAATGCATCGGTTCACTGCGATTGCATTCCAGGAAAGAATGTGATCTATTATTAAAGGACCATCTCAGAGACTAACTAAACCTAAGACAGTTAGGAATAGATTGATAGTTGGACGGCTGACCGTACACTGCAGACTTTGGAGGCATATATAAAGAATCGCAGCGTAAAGAAGCCAGTTCAAATACTGCCAGGAAGAAGAAGAAACAGTGAACGTCTTTTGTTGGTGCGAAGGCCTACGCAGGCTGAGAAATCCTAAGAGAGGAAAAGGCCAGGACTGAAGGATACACCGGAGTCCTTGACAAAGGTTTGGGATCTGATAAAAAGCTTTAAGCATAGCAAAAATCTCTAAATAATAATGGAGAGTGCACAATAGATCAATACTAGTCGCAGTGCGTAAGGTAGAAAGACGCCATATTCTTTTAACCTTAACCATAACCTTGGTTCTAGCCCCCGCTGAGCGATAAAAAATACAATTGCATTATATTGCTATTTTTTGTCTTTTGGAGTAGGCTGATACGTACAGTTGGAGACAATTCTAGTTAATCTCTCCGCAGCAGAGTGGAACCCCTTCCGGCTTGATTGACCATTGCTGTACGATGTGAGGTCTTAGAGGTCTGTCCAACAACTCATCTCTACAATCCCCAGTTTTCCATTTTGATTTGTAGGATTTTCAAAGATACCAATTAAATTATTTTAATTCCCTGTTTAGATTTATATTAACCCTCCACAACATGATTTTTCCTTCACTTTTCTTACAGGTCGGACGCTTTAGCAAAATCGTAGCAGGGTATTGCGTAAAGGTGCGGTAAGGTTAAATAAAAAATCAGAATAAAGGAAAAATTCCTCTTCCTTTTCTTCCACCCCTTTAGTTTGACTTTCCGATCGTCCTGGTCCGTCGAGGCTCGCTGTTTTTTATGTTGAAATTTCGCTACGGTATTTTACCACCAAAGCTTACAATTGATTCCAAAAATCCAAAAAAAGGCGAAATGCATGTGGCAGACAAAATACCAAGGGCAAATAAGCAAGCTAAGAATTCACAATCCCATTGACCACAAGAAGAAATATAACATTTTGTACCTATTTCTAATTTTATAAGCTTCGTAAGGCTGTTTATAATTTATCAAAAGAAGTATATATCGAAAGAACTATATCAATGATCTTAATACCATAGTCGACTGGGGTGTAGGGCACAGTCCTTGCCATACACCATGGCTTGGCATTGGTATGATCTCGCCTAAATTACACAGACATACTGCACAGAATTGTTTTAAGAAAACCAGGATTAGAAAAGGAGTACGAATTCTTCGATCGATCGCAATAATAGTACTGGACTAATTTTTCGACGTACTGGCAGATGGGGTACTATAGAATCCATCCAAATAATATAGATCTGTTTCAATATGACGTTTATAGCAAAGGGGCAAAATACTTCAAGGTGTAGTTATTTTCAACAAGACAGTTAACACGCCGGTACGGTGAAGCACCTTAGGCAGAGGTCAACGGTTTGGCAAAGGTGCCACGAAATATTTTCGACTGGCCCATGTTCTCAAGCAGATGGATTGGTGGGGACCTCGGATCGAGGTAGGGGCGACAAAATGGATATAGAAGTGGAAAGTGGAAACGTATGCTTGTGCAGAGATTAAATTGCACGGACCACTTGACGCAATTAGCCACTTCCTTTCATGCCGTTCTGGAACACTTGGAAATCGCCATTATGCCTATTACTGCAAAGCATTCCATCGAAAGATCAATCCGTTTTTCCCTCAAAGGTGGGGACCCATATACTGTTTTTTTTAAAGCAAGAAGTGTAAAATTATATATAAGAATCTTTAACTAACAGTAAGTAACACCACACTCATTTATTTCAATCATCAAACATCGGTAATTTATCCGTATTAATTATGATATGGGTATATGGTAAGGACGCATATCATTGTTGATTATCGATGAAAATAAGTGCTCAAGGAAGGTAACTTCAGAAAAATCTTCCTCAAAACATTGTGTTATTTGTTTAAAAAATGCTTTGACTGTGTTTTTTACAAACTTGTATTCGTCAACAAGCAATTGCTTTTGCAACGGGCGACTCGCCTTATTTTTAAAACTTAACGACACAGAGTAAATCACGTCCAACATTTTAAGAAATGACTCACGCCAAAATATGTACGGAGAAACAACTCACGAGAACTTTTCACCTTGATATCACGGAACATTAAGCATCTTTCTACGATTGTTGACAAGAAAGTCGTCTATTAAACCATTGCCAATATGCCAAACATAGTTTTAAAAAAATTAGAAGAAATATTGTTTTGGTTTTAACTCCATTATTAATTTTGGACAGTTGGAAATTAAAACAAGACAACTTAATAGAAGTTTTGGTATAAGATGTTTCATGATGATAGCGATGATGTATGATTTATCGTTTTATTCTTTTGTTGTAAACCTAATAAAAGCACTTCTCAATCGGCTCCAGCTGTTTTATTCTCGTATAAGAAAGTATTTCAGCTGGAACTAATGAAGAGAAAAAGGTCTAAACGTAACAGAATGAGGGATTACGTAAATTATACCAAAAACTATTTCCATTTTTAGAAAATAACGTGCTGAAGACAGCTGGAGTGTAATTATTTTGAGGGAACAATATGGCAGGGTATCTCAAGTGGTAGAGCAACCGCGTATTTAGCCGAAGGTCGTGGGTTCGAATCCCGCTCGTGGCACTAGCTTTTTCATTTCAACCAAAACCTTACATAAAAAGATTAATTAATTGAAAGAAGTAATTTGGTCAAAGACCACTAAATATAATAGATTTAATATGACAGTACTTTGATCGTTTCTGGTCATTTTGGACCGCCTAGTGTTAGCCTATCAGACTTGTTGCTTTTCGCGTTCTGTTGTGAGATTTTGTAATACGAAGGAACGAGAAAAGTAGAGAATTCTGTTTTTTCTCTTCTGTTCTGACAGATGTATGGTGCTTTTCGCAACATACCAACCAGCAAGAGTAGGCAACCAGGTTGATTGTATACGACCATACAGGCTTATTCTGTTTGTCCTGGCAGTTCTGCTCCGTCTTTTCATATCCAGTACTTGGTATTTGCAACAAATTGCGAATTTTTTAAACGAAACACTGTTTTGAAATTCCAAAACATAAAATCAGCGAGACTAGTCAGACTTATTGATTTAACTATACATTCATCAACTTTCATTCGTCAAGGTAAAGTCCGCAAAACTGATTTTTTTAGATATGTTCAGTATTTTACAATTGTTTGTCTTTAGACAAGTCTACCAATGGATAATAGTCAATTTTTAAAATTTCTGGAAATCTGTGGTGTGGTGAACTGTAGCTTGGTCTTTTCCGATCATGCTCTGCCTAGTCTCGCTGTTTTGGTCCGCAAGATGCGTGTCGGCTCTCGGTTTTAGTCGAACTTTGGAGCTAAAATACTGTAGAAAGATCCCAACAAACAAAACTCGTGAATGTAGATAAACCAGGATGACCAAACCTGGACCGAACTAATTGTTCATAACACCTCAGTCCTCAGGAAGAAATCCCTCAATCGGTATTATTTCTAGATATATTCTACTTGATCAATATTTGGTCTTTACACAACAAATAAAATTAGATAATTTTTAATGTTAGTGTTAATTTTTTTTTGTTCCGCAGTACAAGCTTTTCCGATCATTTTGCTGTTCGCAAGTTGCGTTTTGGAGTTTTGCCATATTCTGCTGAGACCTAGTTCATCAAAATTAAATTTTGAAGTTGCAATACTGCAACAAAATTTCAACAGACCAAACCAGAGATACTAGGTAGACTGGAAGCAACCAAGCCATGACAGGGCCATGACTTGTTGAATTATTATTTGCCAGATTTGCAAAAGCAACATTTATTTGTTACAATCTGGAAAGAAAATTATATTGTTCCCTTACAGATTTGGGTTGTAAGAAGTTAATCAAATTACACCAAATCATGGACTGTTACATTAATACTGTAGAAACAGACAAAAAACTTAGAAAATCCCAATGAAATTGTTGATGAACTGATACAGTCTAACAAGTATGTAGTAGATTATACAACGATTTTCTCAACTTTAAACTTGTTACTTAGCCTTCCATTACAGATCCACCAAACTCCTGTGGTTTATCGTGAAACTCCAGTTTAAACTTCGAATGAAACTTTGAAACATTCAAAATTGTAATCGAAGGCCGTTAATAAATGTTGTGAATCTTTAGTCCGTTCAGAAAAGTTAGGTTGAGGTATAAAACTCCAGGGAATAAAGTATTTTGGGATAATTACGATTCGCCATACCCAACCGTGTCCGTCGCAGGGAGCAACCTCCTCAGACCTTTCATTCACCTTCAACAGTCAATAAAACAAAAGACTTCCCCGATAACTAATACATACAATTAATCGGATGTTTTATTTATTTTATCCTAGCCGCCATCCACCCGCTGGAATCTTTGGACTGTTGTCGATAAATTACAAAAATTTCGACTAATTGGATCAATTAAAACAAAAAACTCTTTTACTTTAAAGTTGCTCGATTTTTGAAGCTGAAATCAAAACGATATTTGGAAATAATTGGTAATGTCTGGGACCTATGTGAAAAAAAGAGCCAAATCGGTTTGGTAGAAAGGAAGTTTCTAGACTCGGTGATATAACAATCCAGGATATCATTTATTTTTGTATTTATAGTATACATTTCATAATTAAACTAAGGAGATTTCACACGGAAGACAGACGCGTTTCTTGTTTTTGTTTAGATACTGAGAAAGTATTGTAACACAACTAAGCGTGGTACTGTTCTATTTACGCCATTTTCAGTGGTGAGTCTGAATCCTATTTCGCCAATTTTATACGTCTGTCTGAGAGACCAAATTAGCGAGACAAGGCGGACCAGAATTGGAGACGGGGTGAGTGGTCTGACTAGTCTCGATAGTTGTACGAATTCGCAACAGTATTTTGCTCCAAAGTTTAACATTTTCACCGATCATAACGGATAAAGATGGGGAAAAGACGATACGTTCGACAGATCAATATAGCGAGGCTAGACGGACCAGAACGATCGAAAAGGACTAAGGTAAAGATCCATCGCCCTGCTGATCTCAAGAAAAAATGATCTCTGAGGTAAAGATACAAAATTGATAAAAGTATGGCTTGATTAGAAATAATACCGTTTTTGGGATTGCTCCTTAAGACCTGCCGTGTGATGAACCTTTATTTCGGCCGCTTCCGGGTCTGTTCAATCTCTCTGAATTTGTCTGTTGGAATTTCCCTTTTGAAATTTATCTCCAAAGTTTACAATTTACACTAAAATCCTTGGGTGATTATTGGGAAAAGCAGATTGGGAAAATCTTCGAGGATGAGAGGACAAAAATGATCAGAAACGACCAAGGTAACCGGTTCATCATCTAGCACCCCTCCGGTCTGTCTAGTCTCGATTCTTGACTCGCTATTTCGCAACAGTATTTTGTCTCCAAAGCTTACAGTTTGCACCAAAAACCAAGACTGAAGATGGCGAAAAAGCGAAACGATCTTGCCAACAAAAACAGCGATGACAGGCGTATCAAAATGATAGGAAACGAACAACTACATGTTACAGAAGAAAAAAATTATATTTGTAAAGGCCTAAAAATAGATAAAGATAGATTCTAAAAATAAAGTTTTCGACATTTCTTCTTGAGGACTGCGGGGTGATGAACCTGTAGTTTGGTCATTTCCGGGTCTGTCTAGTCTCGCTGGTTTTGTCCGTTGGAATTTTACAGAGAAATTACATTTTTTATGGAAATAGTGAATAGCCGAAACACATCTGACAGACGATCAAAAACGATCCAACCACCTTCATTGCGATGGTTGACCATCGTCCATTTACTCAAGACCAAATCTCATAAAATTGAGCTCGTCATCCAAAGACTGTCACATAAATAGAGTAATAAATGAAGAAGAATTTAACGCTATAGTCTAAAAATAAAACTCGTTTATGTAAATAGAAAAGGGGCAAAGTAGCACAAACATGTATAGTCGAAATACTTCTAGATTATCGGCAAACGTTAGTTTTTGTTCTTCCTAAATTGTATACAAGCACGAGATATAGTTCAATTGATTGTTTTGAGGTCACAATTTGACCCGTTTGTGTTTGTACCCGGTGTTGTTTTGTAAGGGCCTTGCATCAGGATCGTGTGAACTTTAAGGCGAGTTGTGGGAGGCAGGACCGTAACTAAGGTCTATGACCTTTACCAACTACCTGCATAACGTTCTTGAACGTTCCCTAATATCGAGGCTTAATTGTAAGAAACAAATTGGCTTTTATGGCCCATTTGGAGGAGAATATAGTACGTTTTCATTTTAGTTGGATAGATTTTTTTTTGTAATTTACACATTGTTCTTTAAAACGGATAAATATGGTGAAACCGTTAGCACAGTATTGTTAAGAATGTTTATAAAGTGTAAACAAATGGGTAAAACAAACCTAGACTGGGTACGTTCGTTGCAGTTATTAAAACTAAAAAGTAGATTTATTCAAAATTCCGTGGCCTTTCGCCAACTTCATTCGGCTTTCTTAATGAGAAAAATCCTGTTTTTTTGGGGCTCATCATCGCAGAAACAGAAATGAAAATTTTTAATTATAAACCAAAATGATAAGATGAACCTGTTTACGTTATTAAGTTAATCAATTTTTTTTTATATTTAGCAATGTATTTGTATTTCTATTGAGAGTCGATCGATTACCTATTAACTTTTTCAACAATTTACTAGTTTCGTGGTCCGCTTGACCAATTAATATATTACAATTAATTAAGGTTTTCAGTTGAGATAAAAAAGTCAATGGCACGAGCGGGATTCGAACCCACGATCTTCGGCTTCATACGCCGCTGCTCTACCACATGAGCTATCGTGACCTCGATCCACTCGGACATCAACTTCCCATCTCAACACCTTTTTGAATTTTCCCTCCTTTTTGCCATTTTTCAGGCGTATCAAGCCGAAGATCGTGGGTTCGAATCCCGCTCGTGCCATTGACTTTTTTATCTCAACTGAAAACCTTAATTAATTTTTCAACAATTTCCAATCCTTTGATGGCCCATCCGTTTCTGCTCATAAGATGCTCGTTGTAATAGATTATATTTTTCACATAATTAAATTTGCTTTTAAATCTCGTGATTCGGCCTACAACAAATGTAAATCTACCAGGGATCCATTGGACCTAACTAAGTTTAAAATTATAAAGCGAGACTTTTCATAAACTGCTCGATCATATCTTACCGCCTGTCACTATGGAACAACATTAGAAAATTTAGTCTTAAAAGAAAAGACAGTTCTCATTCATGCCAAGATGTTAATGGCTTAAACACGTTTTTTGCTTCCATGTTGTCTTCCTCCAAACTAAAACCCCATTTCCTTCTCATCTAGATCGTCATAATTTGTCCATTAGTTTTTCAAATAACTCATCAA